TAAAACAAGAATGGATCCCATGGAGGTGTGTGTGCAGATGGTTACATTTATAGAGCAATAAAACAAGAATGGATCACATGGAGGTGTGTGTGCAGAAGGTTACATGTTTAGAGTAATAAAACAAGAATGGATCTCATGGAGGTGTGTGTGCAGATGGTTACATGTATAGTGTAATAAAACAAGAATGGATCTCATGGAGGTGTGTGTGCAGGTGGTTACATGTATAGAGCAATTAAACAAGAATGGATCTCATGGAGGTGTGTGTGCAGATGGTTACATGTATAGTGTAATAAAACAAGAATGGATCTCATGGAGGTGTGTGTGCAGATGGTTACATTTATAGAGTAATAAAACAAGAATGGATCTCATGGAGGTGTGTGTGCAGATGGTTACATGTATAGAGTAATAAAACAAGAATGGATCTCATGGAGCTGTGTGTGCAGATGGTTACATTTATAGAGCAATAAAACAAGAATTGATCTCATGGAGGTGTGTGTTCAGGTGGTTACATGTATAGTGTAATAAAACAAGAATGGATCTCATGGAGGTGTGTCACTAAAGATTCAGATTCATTGATTTACTTAAGACGACACCACGGTGGTACAATAGTACAGTATATAATTAGATAAATACACATAGAACAATTTAAGATAGTGTATACATACGTTGCATGTTTAAATTAAAAAATTGGGTTCAAGATTTGACAATGTATCAATTACACAAAGAATGCTACTTTCTCTCTCTATAATATACTTGGGCTGGAGGTGTCGCATTAATATCGAGTCACATGTTTGGCTAGGGACCAGAAGTCGCATTAATTTGAAGACGCATTTGTGTCAAGATCAACAGTATTTGCCTGACAACTTCTCCTAGCGACCAATCACATTCAGTCCCTGCCTGGACACTCAGAATACCCCTACCAAGAAATTAGTTAATTTCTGACAATATTTCTTGTTTTCCTTAACATTCTAGCATGTTGGATTCCGGATATCACTGTAAAATTCACTGTCGTTCTGTCTCCAGGGGTGTTCAACAGATGCAATCTGTGTATTTGACACGTGGCCGTACATATATAATGATCGCATTCCTTGCTCAAGCCTATATGTTTCCGCTTCGCTGGATGTGAGATCCTGTTTGGCAGCAGTTCACATTAGATATTTTGACGAGAAATGTCAAGAAAATACAGAATATTTAACAGTTGAGGTGAGATGATATGGGGTTTAAACGTCACGTTCAAGATTATTGCACTTATATAGCGACATGTTTGCACGTGTGTGTGTCTGCCTGTACTGGTTCGGACTAATGTCGATTTTATGGTGCTAGCTCACTGAGATACCATGCCACAGTTTAACAATAATACCCCACTCAGACACAGTATACTGACTCCGAGCCGATCAGCCCTTGTTTTAGCCCCTTAATGTCGAGTACCAGGCAGGGAAACAACAAGTATCATTTTTAATGTCATTTGGTATGACGCGTCCTGTGTGCAAAAAAGGTAGGGACTATTTTGTTTTGAGGAAAATACATCAGTGTATGGCAACGAAAGTAAGTGATTTATGTGGCGTGAACATTTCCGAAGAAATCAAGCTCTCAAACACAACATTGTGACAGTCATGACGCACGTGAGCTTAGACAGCACGTGCAAGGGGTGGTATATCAGAGTTGCCATTGTCACTCTGACTCGGCTGGAACGTAACGCTCAAAAACATTTTATTGAACACATTTAATCATTAAGAAAGCAACAACATTGATCATGTGACATCTGTTACGTGCTGAACGTTTACGTGCCATGGGCATGTTGCAGGCGGGCACACGTCAGAATAGTGTTGCCAAAACAATGCATGTTTCTCAATTTGTCATCAGCAGATTGTGCGACGATACCAACAAACACATAACGTCGATAATCGATGCCGCTCTGGACGCCCAAGGGCGTCAACTCCAGCCCAGGACAGATATTAGGAAAACGGTTGCATACTTAACGACCTAGAGCGCCACTATCTCATCACACCAACCATTAGATCTGATCGCATACTCCCCAGGAGATATGATCACAATCCCCTACTTTTTTTGCATAGTATATATCGTTAAAATATAGTACTTGGCGCTCGGCATTGAGGGGATGAAAGACGGACTGTTCGGCTGGGAGGCAGGATACTGTGTCTGAGGGGTCATCACTGTTAGCTCAAAGCTTAAATTCGGGAGGATTAAGGGGATTGATAGCTGGGGGTGTTTAGTATGTTCCTGACAGAAAACGCCGCCTCCGTGGTCTTGTGGTAGATCGTCCGCCCGGAGAGCGGAAGGTCCGGGGTTCGATCCCCGGCCGCGTCATACTAAAAGACGTTAAAAGATGGTACTTGTTCTTACCCTGTCTGGCGCTCGACATTAAGGGGCTAAAACAAGGACTGGTCGGCTCGGAGTCAGTATACTGTGTCTGAGTGGGGTATTCATGTTAAACTGCGGCATGGTATCTCAGTGAGCTAGCACTATAAATCGGCATCAGTCCGGATTAGTACAAGCAACCAAACACACACACGTGCATGCACGTCGCTATATAAGTGCAATGATCTTGGACACGACGTTAAACCCAATTTCACCTCACCTCACCTGACAGAAAACGCTAGTTAGCAAAGAAGCTGAAGTTAGCATGTGACAGTTGAATTTTGAGTGAACACCTACAGCCAAGGTCCTGCCACCCCTCTCAGCTTCCCGTTCGGAGATCCAGCTTGAGGGTCAGTGGCGACTAACGACAGGGGACGAGAACGGACTGCACTGGAACTCAAATGGGGGATTTTGAGCTCACTGGGAACTAACCATGTGTGTGTGGGGTGTTCATCAAAGTGGGTAGCACTATAAAACAGGCATTAATACAGACTAGAACACGCACAGACGCGCACACACACACACGCGTGCAATATGCAATAATGTTACGCAAAATTATAGAGAAATTATATATCAACCATGACATGGTTAAAGTCAGAGAAATCACTCCAATCTGTTGATTACGGAAGAATGAACGCGCCCTTTCGGGGCTCGTTGATTCTACTTCCGGGTTCAACCGATTCTCATTAGTTCTCCATTAGGATTATTATATTATAATAAAACTTTTTGAAAAAAATGACACGACGAAATCATAAGAACATAGCAACTTAGTGGTGGTGAGGTTTGTGTGTATGTGTTTTTGTGACCGTGTGTCTGTGTATGTGTGCGTGTGCCGAGCGCCAGGCAGGGAAACAACAAGTACCATCTTGTAACGTCTTCATGTATGAGACGACCGGGGACCGAACCCCCGTCCCATCTGTAAGACGGAGACTGGCTTCACAATCACCGTATTACGCAACATTTTGAAATAACCTTTTACAGAAACAAGATCTGTTACTCACACATCTATGGAGTAAGGTGAAATGGGGTTAAACGTCGCGTCCAAGATTATTGTACTTACCGTATTTCCTCTATTAGACGCCCGGGCTTCTATTTATTTCGGACAAGCCTTTGACCCGGCGTCAATTAGAGGCCCGGCGTCTATTGGAGGTCCGGTTTCTATTAATACCCCCATTTCACTATGACCACGAATGTCCCGAATTGTAATTGTATCAATTGATCGACCCGGCGTCTGTATGAGGCCCGGCGTCTATTAGAGCGACATGCATGTAGGTGTGTGTGTGTGGCTGCTTGTTCTAGTCCGGACTGATGCCGATTTATAGTGCTAGCACACTGAGATACCATGCCGCAGTTTAACATGAATACCCCACTCAGACACAGTATACTGACTCCGAGCCGACCAGTTCTTGTTTAAGCCCCTTAATGCCGAGCGCCAGACAGGGTAACTATCTTTTAACGTCTTTTGGTATGACGCGGTCGGGAATCGAACCCCGGACCTTCCGCTCTCCGGGCGGACGCTCTACCACAAGACCACAGAGGCGGTCCAACATCTATGGAACATTAAGAGCCTGGCCTAAGAGTGAGTGATTGAGTTGGGTTTAACGCCGCTTTTAACAGTATTCCAGTCAAATCGCGGCGTGTGAGCTTAATGGGGGAGGAAAGCCCGAAGTGATGCAAGTTTCAGACGTGTACCACTTCGGTGAAACCCACGAACACGGGTATGGTGCTGACAAACCTAGAAACATAATTGGAGCGAACCGGGATTCGAACCCACAATCATCGGTTTCTGGCGTGCTCAAGGGACGCAACTCAGCACAGCGAATCGCGGCGCCTTAGACAACTGGGCCACTCGTGCCCCCTGCCTGGCCTAAGACAATCCTGTAAATGTACACATTATTGATGCGTGTCACGCTCAGCTATTGAGGGTAATGAAGACCAGGAAGCGTTGTGTTTCATAACGCTGGATGATTGATGTTAACTGATACATGCACAAGTTAGTTTCTTTATAACATTACACAATGCTGTGCAACACAGGCCCTCGGGCGCCCGTCAAGATCCGTGTTGGAATTTGTCTTCAGCAACCAACGCTTGTCATGAGAGGCGAATACCGGGACCGGGTGGTCAGGCTCGCTGATTTGATTAATGCATGTCATTGTATCCCCAGTGTTCAAAATACCTGCCTGCCCGACCGTCCGAGACGGGTTGATTTCAACTCGGGCTGCCAGATTTTCAAATCCCCCTGCCCGACGGTCGGGTTATTTTTCATATATGACAATATTCTAAATATTTCCCGATGATAATCATTAATTTACATGTAAAGATGAATGATAAAATGTAACCAAAAAGAAACCCCGTTAGCTTATCCTGAGAAACATATGATTATAGTGGGCAGGCAGGTTTTGGTCAGGGCTGGCAAGTATTTCAGCTAGCCAGTCCTGTGGTCTGGCTGAAATTTTTGGGAGTTTCATACCCTGGTATCCCACTTGCTTAGATCGATGCTCATTATGTTCATCACAGGATTTTATGGTGCAGACTGGATTAGTTACAGACCGCCGTCATATTGCTGGAATATTGCTGAGTGTGGCGTTCAACACCAAACAAACAAACGGCCAACACAGACGCGGTATGAAGCGTTACCTTTTATTATGAAAACGTGAACAATGTGTTAACTGGTATGTACAGTTTATAACAATGGGGCACATTTACTGCGATCAATTAAAGAGTATTTAAATGGAATGTGCATGTCATAAAAATATCAAATATCCGTGCAGAGGTATTTTCAACAAAAAACATATCAGGCCTCTTGTCATCGCTGATAATGTGTCAGAGCATGTTTCTCCATGAGCAGGCAGCAATATACATACATGAGTCAATATATTAAAAAAAAAGTTAGATAAAAAACAAATTACTTTTAACCATATATATTTTCAATGAAACAAATGAATCCAGGCATAGTGATAAGACCGCTTAGTCAACAGAGGCCGCTGTGGCGGTTATATTGTATTGCAGTGGTTGGGTCGCTACTATATACAATACATTCGCTCACCCATAAACTAAGGCATGATGTCATTCAGCGTTAAAGGTACAGTGAAAACTCGGTCGGTCGAACTTTATAGAGACATTTAGAGTTGGTGACTAACGGTATGTCGACATAAGATCATAGTGCCGACAAAGAAATTCCATCAAAATTGCAGTGACATCGTCCTAAGTGACATATCGATTTAAAGATAATCATCGAGTCATAATATCAGACTGGAAGTGCTAAAGTACCACATGGCCTAAATACATCACAATGTAATCCTTTTTCTACAACATCAGTAGCACAACGTCTTGATCAAAGTTATTTTGCAACACAAACAATTAATCGAGTGCACGTTGTAGAGTACCATGTGGTTTTGCTACACAAAGTCCGTACTCGAGCTATTGAAAAGGCCGATCGATGACTACCTCTAATGTGGTTCGAGGTAGCGAGGTTTCACTGTAAAAGAATATGTACAAGTAATATCAAGTCATACATCGCGTTATGATTTTTCTGGTAACAAATATCGCTTGGTCAATACAGGTTATTTAGGGTGGAATATTGCAGCTATAACTCGGTTTCAAGCGTGTTGACAATTTAGTTTATGATTCTTCACAAAATGAACACTTTCCTGAATCAAAACAATCTGGCTCTAAACGATGACATAATAGAGATACCTGATTTAAATGGCAGACATGTGACAAGAAAAGACTGAAGTTTGTGATCTGAGTTTAGTAATTCTTCATAACGACGCTTTAGGTCTACTTTTTGCCCTTTCATCACGTTTTGTTTGTTTGTTTGTTTGTTGTTTAACACCGCAATATTCCAGCTATATGACGGCGGTATGTAAATAATCGAGTCTGGACCAGACAATCCAGTGATTGATATCATGAGCATCGATCCACGCAACTGGGATACGATTACATGCATCGACCAAGTCAGGGAGCCTGACCACTCGATCCCGTTAGACGCCTCTTGCAACAAGCATAGTCGCCTTTTACGGCAAGCCAGGGTTGCTGAAGGCCCAGTCTACCCTGGATCTTCACGGGTCCTTTCATCACGTGATGAAGGCACCTGATGAAGGAACAAGACGTAGCCCTGAAACGTCGTCACAGAAGTCACAGAAGCTTAAAGAGATTGAGCCGAAACAACTACAGCTATACAAGAGGCTCAGTACTTGGTGAAAACATATTTATTGGTTATTTCAGAGGGGATTTTCTTCAATATGTTAAAGAAGCAATGATGTTAGATGATGTTAACACCCCACCATTAACACCACTTCGTGAATAGAATTAATGAGCAAGTAGTGCGTGATGTTAGGCTGTGAAAAAATATATATCCTGATGCAAATGAACATGATTAAAGGGCGAATATAACAGACATAAGCTACATCATTGCAATCATCAGTGGACATAACGTAGGCACTATCAAAAAAATCTCATTTATATTCTTTCTTGGCACAGAAGTATATAGAGTTCAGCTAATGATTATAAGCGCATCATGTAGAGATACTTGGAGTTTTAAAGAGTAATTACATAATGGTAATACAAAATAGACCAGATAAGTTCAGCTTTATTCACAGAAAAAAACCCGATGAACATAAAGGGGAGATAACTCTATTGACATCAACGATCAAATACTTATGGCTGAAGAACATTCCTCGAACCCCGTGTTGAATTATTTTTAACTTTATAAGTATATTTTTGACGCGAAGTTCATACACAGAGTCCGATGCCTGGGAATGAGGCGGTGCATGCGTTCACCATAAGCGGATCCAGAAGTATACGAAAGAGGGGAGATCTTAGCGTTTGAGAGTTCGGTTTTACGTTGCTCTTAGCAATATTCGAGCAACAATACCATCAATGGATCCGCTCATGGTCTACACAACATCTACGACTAGTACAAGGCATCACATCTTCCAGGGTGAATTCCGTTAAACAAAGCGAGCAGATAAAATGAGTACACAAACTGAAAGGACTGCGATGACAGCCAATACAATACCTTTGTGAACCCGCTCACTCAAAATTTTCATATGGTGGTTGTCTGTGCGGAAATAGGAAGTCAGGTATATACAGAGGGCACAGGTGATATTCCTTTTCCAACACCAAGTTTTAACATTACAATAATGGGTGAGTGAGTGAGTGAGTTAGGTTTAACGCCGCTTTTAACAGTATTACAGTTATATCGCGGCGTGTCAGCTTAATGTGAGAGCCGTATAACACTTGGGTGAAACCTACGAGCACGGGTATGGTGCTGACAAACCTAGAAACATAAGCAGGGCGAACCGGGATTCGAACCCACAATCATAGGTTTCTGGGGTGCCTCTCTGCACAGTGAATCGCGGCGCCTTAGACGACTCCCCCGTCGTGACTGGTATGTCTTTAGTCGTATAAAGTGGGGCAGGTACAATATTACATGTTCAGGATGGAAAAAAACAGGCGTGAATCATTCCGATCTTGTGAAAAAAAATAAATAAAATTAACATTGTGAATCGAAATTATTTTATACAACCTGGAATTATCAAATAGCTTCAAAATATTTTCACCATGATATACAGTAACATGTACTATCAAATACTATCCCCCATAGCAAACACACACACACCATGGCACTACCTTCGCCATGACTAGAACTTTATATATAAATGTATATACACACAAATATTACAGACACCTTCTAATACTCCATTTAGATACAAACGTACGTTATCTTCATCTTAAGAGTAAAACCATGTCACGTAAATTGATGTATAAAATCAGAAAATAGTTATGATAAAAAATACAGCAAATTTGTTGTTTTAACTTATCGCTTTGATCACTGTGACCTCAAATATGTACTGAAAGTAACTGACGAAAATATTTTGGGGAATACAGTCTCAATTTGACGTCACATGATTCTCGAGACAAAATTAACACCAAATTTCCTTCATTTCAAAGCTAATATGATCCGCTAGCCTTCATAGACTTGACTCAGTCTGTTGATATACTTCTCAACACCAGTTAAACAAATGACATGACAGATTAACTTTTGTCATACGAACACTCGGATGTTCTTCTTTTCAGTCGTATACGTCCCTTCCTGTTCCGCAAACATAAGCCTACCAAGCTAGTTTATGTCATCTTATCATACCTATTCCCTCCCGCCTTCCGCATCACGTAACACCTGTACACCACAAAGCAAATGACGATGAGGCCGGCACCAAGAGCTATGCCGCCAACGAAAGACCCGCCGTCGAATTTGTGGGTTGCGGGAGTTGTTTTCGGGGAGGGCGTTGTGCTACCTGTTGACAAAATCAGAGAGCGTTAGTTATTCTTCTTATTAAGTTGTTTTATAACTAGGAGGTATAGTACTGTGTGAGTGAGTGAGTTACATCGTTATTCCAGCTACTTCACGGCGTGTGTTTAAATGTGGGAGGAAAGCCCGGAGTTGTGTAGATCATGGCTGTTTGCCACTTGGGAAAATCTCACGAGCACGGGTATGATGCTGACAAACCGAGAAACATAATCGGGGTGAACCGGGATTCGAACGCACGATCATAGCTTTCTGGCGTGTCCAAGGGACGCAACTCTGCACAGAGAATTGCGGCGCCTAAGACGACTGGGCCACCCGTAGCCCAAGTAGACAGAACAGAAGAAGTGTGGAAGTATAAAGTACAAATGGATGTTTGGGCGTTTTCCGAATGTGCAAAACTACAAACAGAAATTTATCGGAATGAGAATTATATTTTTTTCATTTTTGGCAAATGTTTGTGAGTGAGAGTGAGTATGGTTTTACGCCGCTTTTAGCAATATTCGAACAACAAAACGGCGGGGGACACCAGAAATGGGCTTCAGACATTGTACCCATGTCGGGATTTGAACCCGGGTCTTCAGCGAGACGAGCGAACGCTTTAACCACTAGGCTACCCGACCGCCCCTGGCAAATGTTTTGAACTTCACATCAAAATACACAGTTACGATACACAATATTCAAATAATGAATTAAGAAGCTTTGAGAGAACATTTCTTTAATATTTGGACATATACATAAAGTTGTAAAACAAACAATGGTGAGGGGGGCTTGGGCAGCGAGTTTCGAATGGAACACAAGCCTGGTGCACACGGTTTATGGGTAGAGGCCAACGATCAAAGCGAGCATAATGCACACTTACTTACTTACTTCACATACAGCTCAACCAACATGTAAACAGGTAGCAAATAAACTTTCCAAGAAAGAATACCGTATTTGCATTTCACACTGATACTTTATACATTTATAGGCGCACGCATTTTGAATAAGCTTTAAGCGACGTTTAGAACAGTTATACATTTCAGTTGCAAGACAGCTTGTTAGCTTAATGTGGGAGACAACTGGTTTGTTTGTTGCGTTACGCCGCACTCAGCAATATTCCAGCTATATGACGGCGGTCTGTAAATATTCGAGTCTGGACCAGACAATCCAGTGATTCACTTCAAGCGCACCGGTTAACGCAATTTGGGATACGATAACATGAATGAACCAAGTCAGCGAGTCAGCGAGTCAGACAACCAGATCCCGTTAGTCGCATTTTACGACAGGCATGGATGGATGAGGTGAAATGGGGTTTAACATTCGCGTCCAAGATTATTGCACTTATATAGCGACGTGCATGCACGTGTGTGTGTTTGTGAGTCTGCTTGGACTAGTTCGGACTGATGCCGATTTATAGTGCTAGCCCACTGAGATTCAATGCCGCAGTTTAACATGAATACCCCCCACACACACAGTATACTGACTCCGAGCCGACCAGACCTTGTTTTAGCCCCTTAATGCCGAGCGCCAGACAGGGTAACAACAAGTACCATCTTTCAACGTCTTTTAGTATGACGCGGCCGGGGATCGAACCCCGGACCTTCCCCTCTACCACTAGACCACGGAGGCGGTCCATGGATGGATGAAGGGCTGAAGGGGTATGAGAAAGGCCCACTGTGAGCATATCATAGATGCTTACTGGCATGGATATACAACTTGGAGTACGATCAAGGATCTTAATCGGGGCGAAAATAGGTACGTGCCGACGATTGCTTAGCAACTTATTACATTTGGATCAACTACGATACGCAAGTTACTGATTGGTCGGCTGGTTATTCGGTTCGTTGGTAATGGTTGATACTTACCGGTTGGCTTGATGGCGGTGGTAGTGATGTTGGGATTCATGGTAGTGGCGTTGGGATTCATGGTAGTGATGTTGGGATTCATGGTAGTGACGTTGGGATTCATGGTAGTGATGTTGGGATTCATGGTAGTGGAGTTGGGATTCATGGTGGTGACGTTGGGATTCATGGTAGTGATGTTGGGATTCATGGTAGTGATGTTGGGATTCATGGTGGTGGAGTTGGGATTCATGGTAGTGGAGTTGGGATTCATGGTGGTAGCGTTAGGATTCATGGTAGTGGAGTTGGGATTCATGGTGGTGACGTTAGGATTCACGGTGGTGACGTTGGGATTCACGGTAGTGACGTTGGGATTCACAGTAGTGACGTTGGGATTCACAGTAGTGACGTTGGGATTCACAGTGGTCCCGTTCTGCGGTGTCGTGGCTTGTGTTGTCACTGCTGTAGTTAATGGGATAGAAACCGTTTCGTTAGCTGGATTCGCTGTTTAAACAAGAGCCACTCATTGCAAACCTACATACATTACCTTTGTCGAAAGTCACCGTCGACTAACGAGGGTGAACAGGACAGGTGGGAAGGGGGAAGGGGGGAGGTGGGAGGGGGTATATGCTGCGAGCGACCTGTCATTGATATTCATATTTAATGAGAAACGCCTACAGACGTAGACTCCCAGGTATGTTATCGTGATAAAATACAAGGAACCCGAATCTTCGGCGTGACGAGCGAACGCTTTAACCACTAGACTACCCCGCCACCCCTACATACGCAGAAAGCGATTGTCATATCAACTGTCTTAATTAGAGGTGGGTTATTGTGATTTAACACCTTAGTTTAACCAATCAGAATGCCAGCTGAACGTTGGTCCCAATGTTCACCGATTCCCCACTTACGTTTCCCTTCGTAACCTTTTAATGTAGGTTAAAACAATATATCCAGCTTATGCGGTTAAGATGTTTCTACCCCATTGCCTAAACTTCATAACTTCACATTAAACATAAATAGTCTCAACACGGAAATAACAGACAATCCAGTGATTGGTATGAGCATCGATCCACGCAATTGGGATACGATGACATGTATCAACCAAGTCAGCGAGCCAGACCACCCGATCCCGTTAGTCGCCTCTTATAATTACGACAAGCATAGTCGCCTTTACGGCAAGCATGGGTTGCTGAAGACCTATTCTACCCCTGTCTTTTAATATGACTATAGTTAATCTGCCATGGGTCATTAAAGAATCGGGTGTTTAACTTCTTTTGAGTCGAATATGTTGAATGAAATATGCAGTTCAACTCGTCTTATACCAAATTTCTGCGGCTAGTTTGAACCCTGGGTGTATATATCACACTGGACGCTATCGTGGAAGCAGGAAGTTGGTGCGATCACGCTGCAGTGCAATGAGATAGAGGTGTCATTCCAAGGAGGCTTTGTTTAATCGCTTCGTTTGCTGATATGGCTTGATTGTTTGTTGTTTAATGCCTCACGGCAATGTTCCATTTATATGACGGCGGTCTGTAAATAAATAATCGAGTCTGGACCAGACAATCCGGTGATTCACATCATAAGCATCGATCTACGCCATTTGAGATGCGGTGACATGTTTCAACCAAGTCAGCGAGCCTGACCACTCGATCCCGTTAGTTGCCTCTTATGACAAGCATGGTTGTTGAAGACCAATTCTAACCCGGATCATCACGGCTCTTTGCCGATATTAACAATTTCACAAAGGTTATAATTTTGAAGACAATTATTATTCCGCCAAATGTGTCACATAAGACGGGACGTAACCTTTTTATTGGTCACCAACAAAAGCAAGTTTTTCATTTGCATTCACACAATGACCCCTTTAGGCCCTTAAAAAGGCTAACATATTTTTGGGTAATGTGCATTCCGCCCGCGACCCTACTTTTGAAAGCCATCAGCGAACCACGTGATTAAAAACAAGGCCTTAGTCACAAGGAAACCTTTCACAATTTGCATGATAGGAAAACAGCTGGATATAAAATGACAATTTCGATGCATGGATAATTATGTCCTGACAAGTACATTTGGTTGTAGTGTGTATACTTGCAGCACTGACAGAGCAGTCTGTATGGGGGACCAAGAAATATTTAACTTCCGCATTCAAGATCGTATTACGTAGGCAAACCACATGTCCCCAAGGCATCTTACTGGCTTTATCATGCAGATTTGAAATTGAAAGCTATAAATCAAGTCAACACGACAATATTTATTATGTAGAATCAGCTGGATTTTACGATGGAAACAGGGAAATTGTCACTTCAAAAACGCATAAATAATGCACAAGCTATGCAGGTGAAGACCGTTGGGTGTTCGTTTCAGACCGACGCTATGCTACCTGAAGTTGACGGCGAGGCTGAGGGCGAACTCGGTTCTGAAGAACCTATATAGATGATATAATGTAACATTAGCACAGATGGAAGTATATTTAACCTCTGACTGGAAACGGTCACTGTGTCCAGTTGGTCAGTGTATTGTGTTTAAAGAGAGTCCCAAATGAAGTTGCCGCAAATATGTAATTTAAATACATGTTCAGTATTTTCGCTGCACACTGTAATTATCCAATCACGGTCCACAACTGAATCTGAAATAATTACGTTGTCGCCATAGCAGAACATGAAGATATGACGTGCTGACGTACACCTAGTTTGTTTGTTTGTTGTTTATTGCACTCAGCAATATTCCAGCTATATGACGGCGGTCTGTAAATAACAGTCTGGACCAGACAATCCAGTAGTTGACATCATGAGCATCGATCCACGCAATTGGGACACGATGACATGCATCAACTAAGTCAGCAAGCCTGACTACGCGATCCCGTTAGTCGCCTCTTACGACAAGCATAGTCGCCTTTTACGGCAAGCATGGGTTGCTGAAGACCTATTCTACCCTGGATCTTCACGGGTCTTGTACACATAGAACCCATGATAACCGGTAGAATAGTCAAAGACACGCGCTGTGTAGCATGGAATGCGTTCGTTTTATGACCTAATGTCATGACACAACTATCATTGTGAACTACTCTACGCATGGCGTAACAAGGAAGTAAAATATCCACAGGTATACCCCTGTAGTTATAGTGAGTGAGTATGGTTTTACGCCGCTTTTAGCAATATTCCAGCAATATCACGGCGGGGGACACCAGAAATGGGCTTCACACATTGTACCCATGTCGGGAATCGAACCCGGGTCTTCGGCGTGACGAGCGAACGCTTTAACCACTAGGCTACCCGACCGCCCCCCTGTAGTTATAACAGACGCCGGGTGAATGTTAAACCAGGCTTGTTTGTGTGTACCAGCTCGTCGCCTGGGGAAGGTGGGTCATAAAGAATTTCGTAAATCCGGATCCTGATTCGATATAAGAAAATCGACACCACTATACAAGGGTGGTATAAGAGATTCCAATGCTTTGACTTTTAATCACAGCGAAGTCAACATGTGATTCGAACTCGGACCGAACGCGGGACAAACAACTGCTAACTACTAAGCTACCTAAGAACCCTTTAATTTCGTTAGTACGAAGAGTAGTGAGTGAGTGAGTCATTTGGGGTTACCGCCGCTTTGAACAGTATTGCATCATATCACGGCGTGTCAGCTTAAAGTGGGAGGAAATCCCGAAGTGATGCAGGGCTCAGGCGTTTACCAACTTGGTGAAACCCACGAGCACGGGTATGGTGCTGACAAACGTAGAAACATAATCGGGATGAGCTGGGATTCGAACCCACAATCATAGGTTTCTGGCGCGCCCAAGGAACGCAACTCTGCACAGCGAATTTCGACGCCTGAGACGATTGCATATAATTATTAGTGATTCAGAGAACAGTAGAGGAGTCACAGAAAGGGAATATTAACAATAAGATGGAGATGTATTAGTTGTGAGCACTACAAAAAACAAAAGCAATAAAATAGAAGATAAGCTTCGTGCATAAACCTTCAACAGAGCAAGAATATAACTAATAGAAACAAGAGGTGCTAACATTTACCAGATAAACTATCATAATGTGGCGTTTCATTATATAAGATTAAACAAGAAAACACTGGATACAAGGACATGATCAGGTATTTAGCATAATTATTGTAGAATTTACCTGTATCGTTTACTGTAGTTGGTGTCAGATTTCGTCCTATGGTGTGGAGTGTCTGACTATACTACACCACTTGGATAGGGATACTTCATCTCCCCATGATACACAAGCGACTCATTATATGTCGAGTGTATCTTTAAATAGAAAGACACATCTGACTGTCCCTATCAAACGTGGAGTAGTATATTTAATCTGCACGTGCACGGTATTACCAATTTACAGCTGTTGGCATGAACTACCACTAACTAACATGAAGCGTTTACGGTAATATCATAATATCCTTGATAATCTTTCTTGAGAGAAACGTTCGAGTTTATTCCAAAGTTGTCTATAGCAGGCCCCTGGATTGCCCGAAGGCTATTTGTAGCTGCCCGAATGTGTTAGTATGTTGAATGTAGCTTGTCTGAAGAATGTCAGAAGATTGTAGCTAATGGTAGACTGTAACTGCATACAGACTGCCCGTGAACTGCCCGATGGATGTCTGTTAACTAACTACTCGCAGACTGGAACTGCATATAGTATGGCCTATGACTGTCCGATCCATGTCTGTTAACTAACTACTCGCAGACTGGAACTGCATATAGTATGGCCTATGACTGTCCGATCCATGTCTGTTAACTAACTACTCGCAGACTGGAACTGCATATAGTATGGCCTATGACTGTCCGATCCATGTCTGTTAACTAACTACTCGCAGACTGGAACTGCATATAGTATGGCCTATGACTGTCCGATCCATGTCTGTTAACTAACTACTCGCAGACTGGAACTGCATATAGTATGGCCTATGACTGTCCGACCCATGTCTGCATACTGTAACTAATCGTAGACTGTCTACGTCAAGTGGACTGTCTTAGGCGGTCTGAAAAAATGCCTGTATGCTGTCCGTGATCTGTTACAGTAGTTGCCAGTAGATGGTCTATAGATGGTCTGGAACTGTCCGTTGGCTGTCCGCATCCTGTATGTAAATGTAACTGTCCGTAAACTGTTTATAACTGTCCGTAGACGTCCGTCGACTTCATTTGTTGATGTCATTGAGTACATACTGATTCGCATCACTGCTACACCCTCCTTTAAACATAGAAATGTAACGCTGACTAACAATATGCACTAACATGAAATCCCCAAAACATATGCTGAGTGTAAATTACATATGGAAATGGTATGACAACAATAAACCTCTTCTAAATTCATTATGTCAGCGATTTTTATGAAAGCTTCCAGTATATCTGATTTCGTACTGCAGGATCCTGGGAAATTATACCTAAGGGGCAGCTACGGACAGCTTCAGAAGAAACCAAGAGTGATGTATTTAGTGACCCCCCTATACACACCCAGCTCCTGACGCGAAGGACATCTATATTACCTGAGGGTGAGTGGTCTGTACTAGCGGAGGAGCCAGTACTACCGGAATGGTCTGTGGTGCCGGAGTGGTCTGTGGCGCCGGAGTGGTCTGTGGTGCCGGAGTGGTCACTAGTTCCGGTGCTATCAGATTCGCCGGTTGGGTTCACGGAAGTCGAAGCCGCTGAAAATGATAGTGAAATAAACAAAGCGTTACCATTGTTCAAAGTACCACTATGACGTCACTATTGTATCAGTTGTAGATTCTCTGTAACGAGCTGGCAATTCACTTCAATACTTTCGTTCTGTTGGAGTCTTGATATTCAGTCAAAACCACTGAAATCCAAGGCACGCTGCAATTTCGATTCAGTATATTAATTCTTTCAATCAAGATGACGAACTTAAGAACAGAACAGAACGGTATTTACACTCACGCCGGGATCCTCGGCATATGAGGTACAAATTTGCAAACAGTAAATACATAAGATGGCGGGGTGGTTTACATGGAATATTTTACAGTTTTTTTTAATGACACTTGTCTTTTTTACAATTAAAAAGTTAGAACTGGCGCACAGTCGTCACAAAGGACTGCACCCCAATGCTGAAGGACAAGGTGGGACATCCGGCCCTCAGGATCTATACAATTGACGAAAAGAAAGAATTGTAGTGAAAGTGTGTGTGTGTGATGCCGATTGTATAGTGCTATCACTACTGAGATACCATGCCGCAGTTTAACATGAATACTCCAATGTGACACAGTATCTGAGCCGACCAGTTCTTGTTTTAGATGCCAAGGCCGAGTGCCGAGCGCTAGGCAGGGTAAAATCAAAAGTCATCTCTTGACGTTTTTGGGTGTGACGCGGCTGAGGTTCGAACCCCCGACCTTCCGCTCTCCGGCCAGACACTCTCCCACTAGACTACAGGTGGCCCTGAGAACACCTGCTTACAAGTGGCAGTTTGCGTACTTTGTTGGTTGTTGTTTAACGCCGCACTCAGCAATATCCAAACTTTTTGACTGCGGCCTCTAAAAAATCGAGGCTGGACCAGACAATTCAGTGAATGATATTGTGAGCAACGACCCACGTCATCTAGAACGTAATCAACTGCGTCACCAAACCTGACCACCCTATCCATTTAGAAGCCTCGATCAGCATAGACTGCTGGGGACCCAATCTGCCCGTTGTGTATGCGTGTTGAGGAGAAGGTTTTGTTTTTGTTAGTATTTTGTTAGTATTTTGATAGTTAGTATAAGAAGGTTTTGTTTTTGTTAGTATTTTGGGGTTGTTGTATTTTCTTTTTCTTCTTGAGGGTGTGTGTGTGGGGGGGTGTATGGGTGGGGTGGGGGTTGGGGGGTGGGGGGGGTTGGGGGGTGGGGGGTTGGGGGTTGGGGGCAAGTATAAGAGCTAGTATAACTGGTGTATAACTAGAACAAGAACTAGTATAAGAGCGATCAAAGTTTTATCAATATTTTTTTTTGATTGAATCTAGCATGTCGTCTTTGAACATATGCAGGCGCCTGTATAGTGTAGCATATGCAGGCGCCTGTATAGTGTAGCATAGCATATGCAGCATTTGAATATGTCACACAAGTCTTTCTCACTACAGTACATGCCCGTTGTTTCAGAACAATATTATTTAAAGCAGTTGTAGATGTGTTGTGGGATCGATCTCCATCAACTGTCCATTTCTAATGAACATGCATACCCGGAATTAAACAATGGCGAGCGAGCTGGCTGACATCAGCCGCGGCGTGCGTCACCGTTATCTCTTCACGTCCTAACCACGTGACCAGCAGGTTATGCCTGTACAACTACCGCATTTCATGTAATTAGCGATGCGAACCTATTTTCTTCCAAGCCCGGAGTAATTGTAGACCCGGTGCTGAATATCTGAAGTACGTTGTTGCATAAGCTAGTCTCTAATAAATTGGCATACAGAGTTTTGTTTGTTTGTCGTTGAATGCCGCACTCAGCAATATTCCTACTATATGACGGCGGTCTGTAAATAATCGAGCCTGGACCAGACAATCCAGTGACTGGCATCATGAACATCGATCCACGCAATTGGGATCGATAACATGCATCCACCAAGTCAGCGAGCCTGACCACCCGATCCGTTAGTCGCCTTTTACGCCAAGCACAGCCGCCTTTTATGGGTTGCTGAAGATCCCTTACAACAGTGATAAAACAGGACCCTGGACATGTATTTATTATTTTTGAAAGAATACGGTATGTGTATCGGCTTTTACCATTGTCCCTGGAAGGTGACGCGACAGCTGACTAAAGTCCCAAACATGTATTGATGTACACGTACATGCGTGTGGATAGACGCATAATGATTATCAGTTCAATCCTTCGTCCATCCCAACATTCCTGTACTGCAATGTGTGATCATGTTATCAAAAGGAATAAAACGGGAAAGTATTGACAATGGCAGATTGTGAGTGAGTTGGGTTTAACGCGGCTTTTAACAGTATTCCAGTTATATCACGGCGTGTTAGCTTAATGTGGGAGGAAAGCCCGAAGTAATGCAGGACGTTTGCTACTGCGGTGAAACCCACGAGCACGGGTATAGTGCTGACAAACCTAGAAACATAATCGGGGCGAACCGGGATTCGAACCCACAATCATAGGTTCCTGGCGTGCCCAAGGGACGCAACTCTGCACAGCGAATCGCAGCGCCTTAGACGACAGGGCCACCCGTGTCCCCTTGTTCAAATATGAACATTTTTTTTAATCAGTTCCATGCTTACTATAACTTCTGGGAAGTTTGAAAGTTTACCAGTACAAATACATATATACGTATATAACGAACTCATTTCTCCAGACACTTTGTTATATCCATGTTCTGCTGTATATACACGAACTCGCCGCACTCAGCAATAGACCAGCTATATGACGGCAGTCTGTAAATAACCGAGTCTGGACCTGACAATCCAGTGATTGACATTGGCGGTGCTGAGTTAGGCGTCAAACAACGAACAAACAAACCACGTTTAGAAAAGCTCTTTCTCTATTTCGTTGTAGCTCCAATTACATTTTTATTCAAACAGACAGATATGTAGGTATTTTAAGAGAACATAGACTTTGTAGCATTTGTAAGATGGTTGTATTGAAGATGAATAACACTAGTATGTGTGTGTCCAGTGTATGGTGATTTAAGAGCACAATATCTAAAAGACAAGTTCTACCACAATCCAAATGTGAACACATTTGGTAAATCAATGACATGTATTGTACAGAAACTACCGGAAATGCAACTATGTTTATTTATCGTGCTATGAAACACAAAAGTGTGTGTGTGTGTAACACCCCCCGACTACCTACTATAGGCCTCATCGTGTGTGTGTGTGTGTGTGTGTGTGTGTGTGTGTGTGTGTGTGTGTGTAACACCCCCCGACTACCTACTATAGGCCTCATCGTGTGTGTGTGTGTGTGTGTGTGTGTGTGTGTGTGTGTGTGTGTGTGTAACACCCCCAGACTACCTACTATAGGCCTCATCGTGTGTGTGTGTGACACCCCGACTACCTACTATAGGCGTCATCGTGTGTGTGTGTGTGTGTGTGTTTGTGTAACACCCCCAGACTACCTACTATAGGCCTCATCGTGTGTGTGTAACACCCCCGACTACCTACTTAGGCCTCATCGTGTGTATGTGTGTGTGTGTGTGTTTGTGTAACACCCCCGACTACCTACTATAGGCCTCATCGTGTGTGTGTGTAACACCCCCAGACTACCTACTATAGGCCTCATCGTGTGTGTGTGTAACACACCCCGACTACCTAATATAGGCCTTATCGTGTGTGTGTGTGTGTGTGTAACACCCCCAGGCTACCTTCTATAGCCTCATCGTGTGTGTGTGTGTGTGTGTGTGTGTGTGTGTGTGTGTGTGTGTGTGTGTGTGTGTGTGTGTGTGTGTGTGTAACACACCCCGACTACCTACTATAGGCCTCATCGTGTGTGTGTGTGTGTAACACCCCCAGACTACCTACTATAGGCCTCATCGTGTGTGTGTGTGTGTGTGTGTGTGTAACACACCCCGACTACCTACTATAGGCCTCATCGTGTGTGTGTGTGTGTGTGTGTGTGTAACACACCCCGACTACCTACTATAGGCCTCATCGTGTGTGTGTGTGTGTTTGTGTGTGTAACACACCCCGACTACCTACAATAGGCCTCATCGTGTGTGTGTGTGTGTGTGTGTGTGTAACACCCCCAGACTACCTACAATAGGCCTCATCGCGTGTGTGTGTGTGCGTGTAACACACCCCGACTACCTTCTATAGGCCTCATCGTGTGTGTGTGTGTGTAACACCCCCAGACTACCTACTATAGGCCTCATCGTGTGTGTGTGTGTGTGTAACACACCCCGACTACCTACTGTATGCCTCATCGTGTGTGTGTGTGTGTGTGTGTGTGTGTGTGTAACACACCCCGACTACCTACTATAGGCCTCATCGTGTGTGTGTGTGTGTGTGTGTAACACCCCCGACTACCTACTATAGGCCTCATCGTGTGTGTGTGTGTGTGTGTGTAACACCCCCCGACTACCTACTATAGGCCTCATCGTGTGTGTGTGTGTGTGTGTGTAACACCCCCAGACTACCTACTATAGGCCTCATCGCGTGTGTGTGTGTGTGTGTGTGTGTGTGTGTGTGTGTAACGACCCCCGACTACCTACTATAGGCCTCATCGTGTGTGTGTGTGTGTGTGTGTGTAACACCCCCAGACTACCTACAATAGGCCTCATCGCGTGTGTGTGTGTGCGTGTAACACACCCCGACTACCTACTATAGGCCTCATCGTGTGTGTGTGTGTGTGTGTGTAACACCCCCAGACTACCTACTATAGGCCTCATCGTGTGTGTGTGTGTGTGTGTGTGTGTGTGTGTAACACACCCCGACTACCTACTATAGGCCTCATCGTGTGTGTGTGTGTTTGTGTGTGTGTAACACACCCCGACTACCTACTATAGGCCTCATCGTGTGTGTGTGTGTGTGTGTGTGTGTGTAACACCCCCGACTACCTACTATAGGCCTCACCGTGTGTGTGTGTGTGTGTGTGTAACACCCCCGACTACCTACTATAGGCCTCATCGTGTGTGTGTGTGTGTGTGTGTGTGTGTGTGTGTGTGTGTGTGTGTGTGTGTGTAACACACCCCGACTACCTACAATAGGCCTCATCG